TCGTGCGTTGGGTCCCACCACGTTTCGGTGAGCCCCACTATGTCTGGGTTGGTGTCAGCTAGCAGGAGGGTAAGTTCCTCTTGCTTGTTTCCCATACTACGAGCTTTTGTGTAGAGGCATTTGAAGCGTCCTGAGGATGTGTGCACTGGCCCCCTACTTTCACCATTGCCCTGGCCCCTGTTGCTTACCTGTGCATATGTTCCACTCGTCGGTCTAGGCTGGGCTGTACTTGTGCGTGTTGCTTGGTTTAGCAGTCCAAGGCTTCCTCCACCCTTGTCTTCCCCTTCCCGCAACGAGCCTAGTTTAAAGCCTGCCGAAGGAGATCTGCCAACCTAGAAGAGAACACACGCTTACCTTTAGGGGAAGGGTGGAGCCCATCCCACCCAAGTGATGGCAAGGTCAAATGGTCACATGACCGTTTCAGGCTGGACATAAGGAAGAACTTCTTTACTGTCCGAGCCCCCAAGGTCTGGAACAGAATGCCGCCAGAGGTGGTTCAAGCACCCACTTTGAACACCTTCAAGACACATTTGGATGCTTATCTTGCTGGGATCCTATGATCCCTGCTGACTTCCTGCCCCTGGGGCAGGGGGCTAGTCTCGATGATCCTCCGGGGTCCCTTCCAGCTCAAATGTCTATGAAATCTATAAAATCCCAGCAAAGTGTCTGCCCAGTCTCCTTTTAAAGAATTGTAAGGTTGGGGACTGCAACATCTCCTTGGGAAGTCTACTCCAGATTCTGGTCACCCTTACTGTAAAAAAGTTCTTCCTTACATCCAACCTGAACCCATCCTTTAACAGTTTATGACCATTGCTCTTTGTCCTCCCCTGGGGCGCCCTGGTGAACAGTTTTTCTCTCCGCTCCCAATCAATGGGCAAAGCAGAATTTTCAATCTATTTGAGCATTTCAATGCATATCACAGCACACCCAAATATCCACGTTACACCTCCATATGTAGAGTTTAAAGTCCCGCCTCAGACTCTTGGGTCATGAGTACCTTTTCTAAATGCCCTTTTAGCCTCTCTCTTTCGTGATACTTAAATATTTGTCTTAAAGCTTTCATGACAGCCTATTTTTACCATTTCTGCATTTCTCCAAGCTCATTTCCTCCAGGACACTCTTTTTCCATCTTATATGTCTCACTCTGTCAGAGCCAGTTATGATAGTTATCAGCCACAGACAGTTATCCATAGTGAAGAAACACATCACTGCAATAGGCCCTTCCGGCCCACGTCAGTAGATGCACAAAAACTGAATGCCTGTCCTACAGCAATCGTGGAGCAGATCTCCATCTCATTTTTCAAAGGAGAACGGTTCTGTTCCAGAAATCCTGTTCCAAAAGCTAACGTAAGGAGGGCAAGGGGGTAAGGCAATGGTCTCTAAAGAGGTCCTTGTACAAACTGCATCTGGGAACACAACTATAACTGGCCACTGTATGGCAAGAAGGTGCCTTGTATACTCCCTTAATCCACAGAAGAATTAATCATAACCTGGGCCTACATTAGCATAGGAATTAAATCATCCTTTTACATCTGCCAGTGGTTTCTCCCTGATCCCACCTGCTGGACCTGTCATTGAAGGGGGAAAACTGGATCCCCTGGGATACAGGATGAGGAAACGTAACTGCATCACAGAGTAATCAATACAGAGCCTGAGCTGGGGAGAAGGACAAAGAACTGCTAGACAACTCTCTCTCGCCGGAGAACAAAGGCAATTAGGCTAAGAGATACTTGTGCCTTTGAATTCCTCACCCTTGCCCTAATCCAGCATAGTTGTATTTAAGTCAATGGAGTAAAATGACATCAGCTGAGGATCTAGCCCTTTACATATATGGTTTCCAAAACCTGATTTAATACTCTTGTTCATGAAATAAGCAAGCTGCCTTACAAAATATGCTGATTCTTCCTGCCCATGTTTTCCTTATCCCTTTGCAAGGAACCCACTGAGGCAATCCACGCAGGTTTGTTTAACACAGAGGTTATCCAGGCCTACAGGACAGAAACAAGTGTATGTTAAAGAACAGGTTAATGACAGACGAGTATAAGAAGAAGAGGCAGATTTATTAATGGTGTCCTTCACGTAACACTTGAACTCTGAGAGGGGACTGAAACCAAAAGTCTGACTGAGACGTGGATATGACAGATGGCTCCCTTCTGTAGAACATAACTTTGTACAAAAGTGTGGCAATTTCAAAGGATTAGGCTGAACATGGCCTCACCTTCCTGGTACATTCTGCAGTGGACTGGTTTAAAGATTTTTAAGTCAACCCAGAATGATGCTGAGAAGTCATACACTCTTGTAACAAATCTTATGGCATCAGAGCCTCTTCACACTATGCTTATTTTATTACAAATTTCTTGCATGCTTGGAACAATAATGTGCGGTACAGCACAACCTGTTAATAAGCTCAAATATGAAGAATAATGGGAATTGATGATACCAGGATTGGCTCTGTGAAATACAAACAGCCTAGATAAAACAGTTACTAGAGTTAAAGCATGGCAGAGTCTCTCCCAGTGGCACCTGTAGCAGACTTAACTCCCACAATAAACAGAAGCATGTTCTAAGTGAGCCAATGCCAGCCAGCATTAAGTTTTATACAGCTATAAACTAAGGCACTCCTACCTAGTTATCACGGTAAAAGACTAAGTGTGGCACATGGAATGACAAAGAGGTTGTTCATGCTACTGTCCCATAAATCTATACTGTTGGGTTAGATATGCAGACCTCACCCAATGCTGCAACTCACACCTGTTTAGGTCTCACAGCAAGAGTACATATAGCTTGACTTTTCTCATTTAAACACCTGTAAATGGCTCAAATTACATCCCTAGTGTCATTTAAGTGAGATCAGGCTCCCTATCTTTCCAACAGACGGTGTGTTCCGCCAGGTCCAGCTCCAGAGTTCGATCCTCATTTTCTAGCCAGGTAATGCTCAGATGCAAGAAGGGTAAAACAGGTATAAAGTATCTTTCAGGCTTGAAAAGCTCTGTGTTTGTTTGTACGTGGGTGTTTGTTTGTGTTAGAAGAAGAACCAGTGAACCAACCTCAACTTTCACTTTTCAAAATTCTGCTCAAATGACCATTGCTCTTTCCACTACAATTAGCAAAGTCTCAATTTTAGTTTCAGTTAATTTGGTCAATTTGGTTTCAGTGAAAAATTGCAGAGCAGCACTTTGTTCCATAAAGTTCACAGTTCTGTGCTGAGTGACTATTTGTGCAATTTTTCGTAAAAACAGTTCCACAGACCTGGTCATCCCTAGCACAAGGTTCTGATGTGCTGGAGTTTAGCTTGCAAGCACAGCTCGATTAGCAGCCCCTAATGCTAATAAGAGCTCTAACATGCCAGATAAGTCAGCTATCATGTGCTAACATCTATAAGGATTTTGTCTGTAAAGGAGGTGTCTGTGAGGGAAGACAGGAAGACCTGTTCTCTATGCTTACAGAGTGTCCATTTTCCATCTGTGACCACCATTTTTATCGTGGAAACATTTTACCTCTTCTTCTGCACTGTCCAGTACAAGGAGATCAGTGCCATTATAGGCAGTGCAGAAATTCTTTGCTTCTAACCAGGTTGAACTATTAGTTTCTTCTATATAATAACACCTGCCATTCCAGTACCACCACCCAGGGTTCTCTGGACATTTCAGACTGACCACACCTAAGATACAAATGGCAATATATCAGCATTTAAAGCAAACAGAACACTCAGAAAAATTCCCTGTTGGAAGCAGCATGCCCAACCCCTTCTACGTTTAAAAGAATCCAGTTATTCAATATAGTAAAACATGGGTACACTTGTAATAACTGAAATCAGCAAACTTGGCCCATTTTTCTAATAAAGATGGAGCTTAAATATCCTTGCTGTGCATCTAATCCCAAGGCCCACATAAAGCAATGAACATCTTTCCACCAATTTCTGGATTAGTCCATATGCCTGAAAATACAGGGAAGAGTATCTTAAGATTGGGAATTAGATATAAAGCTGACACGTGTACAGCTTCAAGTGAAAAAAAGTTGTCAAATCAAAAGCAAAGAAAAGAAAGCAAACAGTGGCATGACCTAGTGGTTAGAGCCAGGGGCTTGGTTCAATTCCCAGCTTTGCTACTGCTGTTTTGTGATACACCAAAACAGTGAGTGCCTTAACATGTGCATGTTCCTATTTCCCTTTGCATAAAACAAATACATTAATGTGGGCCTCACAGGAAATGACAAGACTTGATTAATGAGTGTAAAGTGCTTTCAGATCTTCTGATGAGACACTGTACGTAACAGCAAAGAACTATTGATATCCAGAGCATGCCAAAGCCAATTTTGGACACAATTTGCAATGTTGTATACCTCTAACTCCAGGTATGTTGTTCCTAACTGCCCATATGGATTGAGATGCTGCCACCTCATTTGATGCCAAGTGAGGAAAAGACCAAGATGATGATGTCTTGGGTTTGTCTGTAGCTTTCTCTAACAGAAAGTGCAAATAACCCCATGGAGTACTGATTTTGGGAATACCAAAAGTTACTGGGACATTTTAGAAGTACAAGTTGTCTCTGTAAGAATGAGAGCTAAGACGTCTACATTTGATAGCACCTACAGCCACCAGACTAATAACCAATATAATGAAATAGGAAGTTTACTCTATGCCCTCTGCCAGCACTGCCCATTGGGGTATTATATCTGGATGTCAAAAGAGAGGATAAGGTCTACAGCTACTTTTTGCAAACGATCTTCATTTTTCCACTTGCCATGCCAATCCAAGGGTTTCTGTTTCCAGGGTTATACATTTTACCTCTTTGGCACTGTTGTGCTACATATTTCTCTGAACACTGTAAGTACTCCGCACATTCTCCAGTGAAAGGGCTGCAGTTTTCAATTTTATTACAGGTGCAACTACCCTGGCATTCTGGACCATAGTATCCTGAGGCACAGGCTTTAAAACAGAAAGTAGAGAGACAGATACATTAAGGAAGACAAGAATCTGAAATCAAAACAGTGGGTGAATCACTCCTTGTAACGTGCCTCTCATATTACAGGTTTCCCTAGATTTATGCGGGTTCTGTATGTGCAAATTCACTTTTATGTGATAACCCTTTTTATACCAAAAATGTATTATATGTGAGGTAAATTCACTCTTATGCGATCGGTGTGGAAGCCCGCAGTCAGCTGCTTTGTGCGGTGCCTTATGGGAGTGACAGGCACCAAAATACAGTTTCCTGTGTGGATCTGTGTTCTTCGTTCGTTGTCTGCAACATGTGTTTCTGTAGTTATGATAGTGCCTGGTGCTTGTGTGCACTGTCTGCAGTTGGTGAGTACCAAAATTGTCTTGTAAAAGTGGTAGAAATGGATCTGGGGGTCAGTACAGTCGAGGTCCTGGAACATCCCTATTTATTACATTGTAAAGTGGGTTCCCTTTATTCAAATTTAAGTCATGCACTATTTTCCAGGAATGCATGTACAGCATAAAGTGAGGGAAACCTGTATTTACATGGAGAAGATGTAAATACCACTGAAACTACTACAGACACATCAGAGCTGTTGTATAAAACTCGTACATTTCAGAGAAATCACAAGACTAAGATCCAGGGTCTGTAGATTCCCTGTCCCTCTTTCCATGGGAGTAGATTTTTCTAAGCTACTTACATCTATAGTGGTACATCAGCACCTCAAAATACACCATTCCTTATATGTTAAGATAACACTACTCCTTGTTTTTGACTGCTAAAGCACCTGGTTCTAGAAGTAGAGTTAGAGAGGCATTCTTAAGGTTAAGACTCAGGTGTGTGACTATGTATATGCATGTGTATGTAATTCCTAATTTTTTCAGCTTTGTGTCCTGCTTCATGCTTTGACCAGAGAAAGATCCAGGAATCCTCCTCTTTGAAAATCAGGAACAAGACTGGTTCATTATTTGCTCATCACATGTCAGTGGGAAGCTTATTCTCAAACCCATAAATACAGTCTGACTGTGCCTTTTCCCAGGAACTCAAAATATAGTTATAGCACTGGATCAAAAGCAAACCACTGTTACATACTTAAGGCAGAAGCCAGGTCAGAAGCAATACTGTTTTGTAGCCTGCACTGTCTTGGAAATCCTTCTCACTTCTTTGTAGAAGTTACAGTTGTCAAAGTAAGGATGTCTGAGGCTTAAAACAGATTTGAGATTTTTGGATTTGATCCTTGGATTTCATAGTTTCATAGTTTCTAGGGTCGGAAGGGAC